GCCCATTTCTTCAAATCTGCGAGGCTCATCTCGTCGTAGTTGCCCTCAAACTTGGCCAACATTCGCACAAGTCGTGGTAGATCTGGTTCTTTGTACCAAGCTTGCAAGGCATCGCAAATTTGGTCCTTGAAGGTTGTAGTCCATGAGGAAGGGGACCAGGTTGGCACATCCCTTGAGGCTGCCCTTTCAACCGGTAGGGCCTTGTAGAAATCGAGGTTCGTGGCCACCCTGTACTGACCTTCGTTGATCCCCGCTGAGACGTAGCAGGATGGCATTCGCAAACCGTGGCTCCACCTGCTCCAAACTTCTGACTTCCAAAAACCATGGCCTTCAGGGAGCTCCATCATGAAGCCAGGGGCTGGCAACCGCATCATTCTCATTGCCTTGTCCGCCACTGTCCACAGGAACAACTGCTTGCAAATCAACTCCATTGACTCACTGTCCCTCGGCGGACCACCCACCACACTGACGATTTGACCTCGAAGTGCAGCCCACAAAAGAAGCTTGTAAGCTGAGCTCTGTCCTCTCAAGGAAAACAAGCTGCTTCTAAGGATGTCCAGCTCGAGCACGGTAACACCATTCCTTTCGGTGACCTTCAAGTTGTCGGTCTTCTTGTCGTAGGGCCCCGCATACAAGTGGACAATCCACGAAGTTTGAAAGAGCCGCTTCCTCATAGCTCTTCGAATTGGCATAGCCTTCAGGTAGTTCCACCCGGCTTGATCTGAGAGGTCCACGTCCTCCACCAACAAGCCTCGAATCGACTCATCAACTTGACCAAAAGGAAAAGACGGCATCATCAAAGCCTCCAATCCATGGTGCCTTTTCCCAGTCGCCACATAGGTAGCCATTGCACCTTCCCAGCTCCTCAACTCCTCGAGGTCCCAGTTGAGAACACGAAGTTGGCCATCTGACACATGGCCCTCTAGCTCATTCACCTTTGCTTGCTCCAACTCGGCAATCAGGCTAAGCGCCTGGGCCTCAGAAATCACAGGACAATTGCCAATTGTCTGAGCCGCGATCTTGCCGTAGGAGGGGTGATTGATAACCAAACCATCATCCTTGCTCCATGTAAGAGTACAATTGAGCTGCTGGACCAAAGCCCCAAGAGGAACTATGGACCCAGCCGTGGCTCCATCATCATGTGAACTTGGCACAAGTGTGCCCGCCTTGGTTTGGCGCAGCCATGTCTCTTGGCCGCCCGCGAGCTCAACCTTGATGGGGGTTGTGTTGTCCAGTTCTCCTTCTCGTAGAGGACGAAACGCATGTGAAGCTCCAGAGTCCAAAAGAGCCGTTCTAGCTCGAACCTGAGCCTCATACGCCTTGATAGCAACGCGCAGCTCATCTGACGACTCCTGAGTCACAGTCAAGGCCTGCAGCTGTGTGAGCTTGCTCAACATAGCATTGGCCTCCTGAAGGAGGGCCTTGACTTCACGCTCATGCTGCGACATCCCTGAGGGCTGGCTTGAAGTTGTAGTCGAGGAGGTTGCCGCTGCTGTAGAGTCCAAGGTTGAAGACTGTGTACTTTGCTGGGGCATTGTAGAAGAGGCCGAGGGCAATGCAGTCTGTAGCTGAGTGGCCGCCGAAGTCATAGAAGACGTCGCCGACTGGGGAACAGCCAGGGCTGCCGCGGCCTTGGGCGTTGCTGGGTCCTTGGTCTTCGGCTTCACTGGGCAGTCTGCTTGACGATGATTTCGGGCACCACACGTCCAACATCTCGACTTCTTCTCTTCACGGCTCGCAAAGCTGTGAGCGAACTTGCAGCTTCCGCCCTTCTTGCATCCAGCATCACTGGTAAAGAACTTACAAGGAGTCTTCTCTGCCCCCTTGCCTGATCCTTTTGCCGACGAAGGAGAAGTGGGGGACGTTGATTCACCAGTTCCAGCTGATGTACCAAGTGCCCGGAGCTTAGTTGCTTCTGGTCCACTTTGAGACTTCCCCTTGAGAGGCGCAAGCTGCTGGATCTCCGCAAGAGCGTGGTCATAGAACTGCAGCACGGTTTCCTGGGTCGGGCGATTCTGCAACTGGAGGGTATGCCGGGCCAACGATAAACGAAAGGATAGCCCAGCATCTCGCTCAACCACCTTGGCAATGATCAAATCAAGTCCTCTTAGCTGAAGGGAAGCGTCAGGTGGCGTGATGCCCATGTCGACTGCACGGTTGAGGTGTCTTCTCCATCTCCTCAAGGCAGTCACTGCTTCTTCCGGGTTTTCTCCAGCTGGGGCTCCTTCAAGTAGCTTCAACACTGCTGCGCGCTCCGTTGTGCTTCCTGGTTGATACAGGACGTACAGCCTGAACAAGGCATCGGCTGTTGTTTTCACCCTATGGGTAACAGCATCTTCCTTGGCCTGACGTGGCATTGCTGCTAGCACCAACGTAAGCACTCTGCGATCCAAGCGCTCCCAAAGCTTCGCCCTGAGCTGGTCAGGTAGGGCAGGGGCTATGTTGAGCCTGTCCAACGGAGTGGCAGTCTGGTAACGTGCAAACGCCTCTTTGGCACACGCCAGCGTAGCCATATACCATGCACCCGCCTTGTCCGTCAGCGAACCCACCATCTGCTCTGTCATGTAAACCCAGTCTTGAAACTCCACACCTCCATCGGCGTGAGGTTCTGGTAGCTTTGGCAGCTCAATGCCGCCCTTGATCACCTCCTGCTCTGGGCCGTCCTTCTTCTCCAAGTAGGCCTGCTGCAGTTGGCGCATACCTTGCACAAGAAGCTGAAGCGGTTCGGCAGTGCTTGGTTGTGGCGTACCATCCCGGTGGCCTGTAGACGAAGGCGCATTGACTCCCTCAGACGGAAGCCCCCATGCGTTTCCTCCTCCACCTCCACTCGGTCCCGGTTGACCTTCTGAAACACCAGGATATCTCTGATCACTCGCTGCTCCAGCTTGGCCTCCTCCAGGTAAAGGTCCGCTTTGACTGTCTCCAGGAAGACCACCTAGGCAACCACGATCTCCCAATCCCTCAAGCCCTGGATTGCTAACGCGTCCCACATCCGGTCTGTCAGCTCCAGTAGCCTCTTCCTGAGAGGATGGAAGTGGCGTCGGCCTTGACATCGGCCGGCCTGTCTCCCGCACCGCACCAAGCGCCTGGGTTTGCACCACCAACATCCGCTTGAGCTCCTCATTCTCTGCCATCAAAGTTCTCATGCTCGCATCCCGTGCTTGAAGGGCTCCCTGAACTTGACGACGAACCTCCTCCGCCACGATTTCTTGATGTCCCGAGCTACTCGAAGACACCGCATCATGGGAGCGCTGCTGCATCGGAGGCCTAGGAGTCAACAAACTCGGCCTCGCCGTCCAAGCTCGCATGGCCTGCTGGACATTGGGTGGCATCAATGGACCTCCATGGGCCCCTTGACTTGCAGAAGAGGACTTCGCAATCGGCGACGGCAACGCCCGTGGCGGAGGAGCTTGTGCCTTAACCACGCCTGCTTGCTCAAGCACCGGAGCGATCACCCTCCTGTAAAAGGCCTGACCCGTCCTCGAAAAGCCCCATGTAGCCTCTTCCTGTGTTCTCACTCGCCCACCTCGCCGATCAGGAGACGAAGTTGTGGAGGTCATCACGAACTCCTCCTCAACCGCCTGCATCTCAGGGCGAAGCGTAGCCGGGATGCTAAGAGGAGGCGGCGGATTCACTTGATCACGGCCTCCATCTCCAGGCTGCATACCATCATCATGATGTCCAGCCTGTCTTGCTGCATGCAAATCTTGTTGAATTGTAGTAGGCGCCGAGCTGGGCTGCTGCTGCAATGCTGCCGCTGAGGTACGAGGCGACTCAAAGACCTGCCCGTCTGCTGGTGACATGCTTGCTGGTGGTGGCTGCGGCTGCTGTGAAGCTGCTGGGGGAGCCTGAGCTAACCCAACCCCTTGAAGCCCTGAACTCGTAACGTGCGTCGTCGCGCCCGGTGCGGTTACACGGCCCAGTCCGGATTGCGCTAGCAGGCTAGCACCCGCAGCCAAATAATCGCCATCGCCACCAACCATCGGGGACTGAAAACCACTTCCAGATTCCCTCTGTCCGTCAGCATGCTGTCCTTGACCAGTCTGTGGAACACCATTAGGCAATTGCGGTCTATCCTGAAGGTCGCCCCGAGCACCAATACCAACTCTATAGTCTGGTCCATGGTCCTCTCCAGCAAGCACAGCATGCCCAGTTGCTTGTGCATCCTGCCGACTGGCTCCAACGCTGAGCGTTGGGCTCATAACCTGTTGAGGCTCGGTAGCCTGATCATCTGTGTTGTCGTTGGGTGGAGGTCGCACAGGTTCCATGACACAAAGCAAGTGGCGCACTACTCGGTCGTTTTCACGCACAAACGAAAGAATCTTGACTTCACAGAGCTACATGCGTGCTGTGCCATGCATGCTCATGCTGTCTTGACTATACACAAGTGGTTCGTGCTACGGGCCAGAGCTTAAACAGCTGATGCCTTCTTGTGGCTCTCTGAGCCATTTCCGCTGCGGTCAACGCTGGCCTTGGCTGTTCAACAGGATCCGTTCTTTGGGGTTTGACAAAAGGTTTTATAGGGCTTGAGTCCAAGGTTTGTCTGGGGCTCTTTGGGAGGTTAGGGGTTGCAGGCCCGTTGCAGGTTAGAGACTCATGCTCTTTCTTAAGAACATAGCCCTAAACTCTGTACCCTCAAACCGGAACCTTACCATAGTCAACATTAAGGATGATCTTCGACAAGGTCTCCGCAAGAGTGACACCGAAGAAAGCGACGACAGCGTCTGTGACCTTTTTGAGCTTGTAAGGTTCGACGTTTGAGGTTTTGAGGTTAAGGGCTTTGAGGTTCAAGGGTTGCCGGGGCGGGGGGGGCGGAGGGGCGGGGGTTGGTTTTGCAGGATTAAGGGCTTCATGGCTTCAGGGTATTGAGGCTTTGTAGGCTTTGGGGCCCCAATTTTGCATGGCACCCTTATATTAAGGACCCTGATAGGGACTTTAGGACTTCAGGGTCTCAGGCTCTAAGGAGCTCGGGTTTCTGCGACCTCGTGCGCTGACTTCCGGAGATCTGGGACGTGTTGTCGTCCGAGAGCAGCCCCAAGAAGGTTGTCACCGGCCTGTTTCGGGCTTCAAGGGCTTAAAATAAGGAACTGAATAATTAAAATAGGGTTCTGGTGTCCATTGTACAACATTTTTCGGAGCCCCCCAAAGCCTGTTCGAATTACTAAAGGCCAGTAAAGTATTCGTGGCCCAAGGACCTATACCTTTTTCAAGAAACCATAATAAGGAACCCTAAAAAAGTAGGTCTTCTCGGCTACCGGTAAGGGTTCGCTTTAGTTATGTACTTTAAGGCCTTGGGCGATTCCGGTCTTGGGCTTCAGGGTTTGAGGGGACTAGGGTTGAGGTTTTCGGTTTAGGGATTAGGGTTTAGGGTTTAGGTTTAGGATTTGGGGATTAGGGCTTGGGGGTTTGAGGATTTTGGGGCATGGGGACATGAGGACTAGGGGCCTTTCCGGCTCCTGCAGGAAGGTGAGGATGTGGAGCAAAAGATCGGAAGTGAGCTGCTTCCTGAGTTCTGCTTCTTGAACTTAAATCCAGGTTGCCGTGTTCGGTAAAGCTGCATCCACAATGTCACCCGCAGGCAAAACGCGAAGCCATCACCACTTACAAACCTTTGATACTACCCCTACAAACCCTTCCAGAGCGCAACTGTGTATAAACCTGAATGTTAAACCCTAAACCTAAACCCCAACCCGAAACCCTGAACCCAAAGGCCGGTATCCCAAGCCCAAACCCTATATCCTAAACCCACCCCTCAACCCCAATAAAGGGGTGTTTAATGCCGTAATAAGGTTTTGGGGCCCAAGAAACTATGCTTTTCATGAGGAACCACCAAAAATGGTGGTGGCAATGATTTAGGCCCCTATAGTAGACTCAAAACCCTTTTTCAGAAGAGCTTAGATTCTCGGCGTGAAGGTGCACAGCCCATAACAGTCGGCCCCTCAGCTCGTCTTTGTACCTCGCTGGGAGGGTCGAAGGTTTAGGGTTTAGGGTTTAGGGATTTAAAGTACCCCTAACAGGGGCCGAAATAACTACCAATTCTATTTTTGGGGTGCCTCATTATACTTACAGTAAAATATGCACCAGAACTCTATTCTCATTATTGAGGCCCCTATATTAGTTATCTTGTAGAGCTCTGAGGCCAGGAAACCAAATCTAATCACATTGCTTAAGCTTGTTGAAGAACGGACACTGCCTGCTATTGCAGTTACCATGGCAAGCTTGGTGAAACACGTACCTACTGAGCTGCACCTTTTGAAAAGGATGTTGGCCGAAGCTTCTGCCTGGAAGACCAAACCAGCAGGTTGCTAATCGCCAACATGTCTGTGCCAGAACAACCCAAGACCCCAAATCCTAAAGAGATCCCAAACGTTTGGTGTATTCACTGGTAGCTTTGCCTACCACAACTGACCACAACCTACTGTTTTGGTTTGTAAGCTCCTTGACTGAAAATTATGACATAAAGTTTGTAAGTGTCCTACAAAACGGTAGTATAGCGGCCTTGTTGTTTGGAAACGGCCTTTGTTTTGGGATAATATAACAAACTTACAGTGAGGAAGCCTAAGCAATGGACTTTCAGCGTCTGTCTTATGCCCTCTTCAGCCAAGATGAGGGGCAGCCGCCGCCGATGCCAGATGCTTCTTGCAATCATCTCTGCCCGTCCACAGGCTCCAGACGGCACATATGCGTGTGGTATAGCCTGCTTTACAGTCTAGGGTTTGCGCATAAGGTTTGGGGGTCGGGGCTTAGGCGATGTCCGGAGATTTCCACGCTGCACGGGCAGTTTTGAGCTCCACTGCTAAGGGCTTATCCCGGGTTTCTCGAGCCTTGCAAAACGAGCCACCTTTCCTTGTCTTAGTCGTTCGCGGTTCAGAGTCCCCCGGCTTTAGCCCGGAGTCTAAACCCCGAGCCCCTAAACCCAAATTCCAAACCTAAACCCTAAACCCTTCAGACTTAGCCCTAACCCCTAGACCCTAAACCCAAGCCCCAATTGTTGTCAAGAGTGTTGGGTTGTGTTTATCTTTTAAAGCGGGGGGTGTTGGGGTTTAGGGTCTCGGGTTTGACCCTGCGAAGTCAGATGAAGGAGATCGGGCCTGATGCTCTTGCTGTAGGTCAGAGCTGTTGACTGGCTGGACCTGGCTTGCAATAAACTTCCGGGAGAACAGATTAGGATTTAGTGCTCTGAAGTCTCTATACTACTACACCATAACCAAGTTAGTAATGATATCCTCTCATAGCCCCAAAAGACTGCATACTTTAACAAATCTTCAATACCCGACTAAATATTCTTAAGACTCCAACATCAACAAGCATCAGCTCCTTACAAACCCCCTTTTGAAGCCCATATGAAACTCTGTAAAACCCTTCTGAAGCCTTATAAAGCCCTCATATTAAACAAAAGAGCTCATGATTAAGTTTATGTAGCTTTTCAAGGCCCAGCTGCCTGGACCTCCTTCGTCCTGGAGCACTGATCCAGGTATGACGACGTAAGAGGCGTGCCCTGCCGACTCAGGTACCTCGGGTTTGAGGGATGTGGGGTTTAGGCTTTGAGGTCGAGGGTTCAGGGGTTTAGGGCAATTAGGGTCTATTGAGTCTAGTCTTTGGGGTTTAGGGTCATCAGTGGTGCCTTGAGTGCTAGGAATGGATATGCCAAAATTTCCTGCCAGGCGCCAAATTCGCGCACGTCCTGCCACTAAGCCAGCGAGTTCCAGCAGAAGTATCCGTAAAAGAAAGGGCGTCAGCTGGGCTTTCATGCCAGCATGAGACATGCAAAGCTGCAATGACCTGGCACTGGCCAAGAAGCAGTAGGCCATCCACATCATAGTCCTTGGTTTAGCGTTAAGGTCTTAAAGGGCTTGGAGTTTAGGGCAAGCCGAGGGTCTTGCTTGGGGTTTAGAGCTCTGCTACCTTTCCTTTATACACTCACTAGACCAAACCACAAACGTGGCACAGAAGCAACGCTGAACTCTTTCTTGTCAGAAGTGGAGCTGAAAGCCTCTAGCCGACACATGCCAAGGTTCAGCTTGCGTGCGTCATCCAACAAAGGCAGGTACAACAAGAAGCCAAGAATTTGTGGGCCGGTGTCGGCAATGTCCTGGGCAGTCCTGTGCAGTTCTTGGGAACCCCAAACTGTCTGCCTGTTGTCGGCCTAGTTCGGTTTAGAGGCAACTACTCAAAGGACCACCTTCCTAAACCCTAAACCCTAAACCCTAAAATCCTAAACCCTAAACGCTACACTGTATCGGGCTCTCTGGGTTCAGCCCAAGGCCCGAAGCCCAAAGCCCTTGAAGTCCCGACCACATTCCTGGACCCATTGTCTTTAAACCTCTAAAGCCTAGCACCCTCACACTGACCCCAAAATCCAAGCCCTAAAAACCCTAAACCCTAAACTCTAAAGCCCCCTAATCCGAAAACTAACGACTCCACTAGAATCCCCTAAAGTGGCACCGAGACTCCCAACGACCAGGGTCGGCCAAGCAAACCAGGCGAAGGGGACCCAGGTATAAACTACCAGCAGCTCATTGCTTCTGTGCGAATCTTCCAGGAAGTGTGCCATTGTCGGCAAGGCGTCCTGGACCCGGGTTTTGGCTGACATGAGACTTCAATCAAGGGTTCTTCAGTGTAACGAGTTTTTATGAGCTCCGGGGTTGAGGGTTCAGGGCTTGCGCGGTGCATGGCTGCTTGGATTAACGCTCAAGGTTGAGGAGTTGAAAACTTCGGACTTTGACAGCTACCACCACTGCCACTACCATGACCAGCACCACTACCACTACCGCTACCATGCCCAACCGCCGCCGCCGCCACCACCACCACGACGACGAGAACGACCGCTACCACGACCAAGAACAAAACCACTACAACTACCGCTACGATCACTACAAGTACGACCACTACGACTCCGACGACTAGGACCACTACGACGACGACGACTGAGACTGCGTCTGCGACTGCGGATGCGGCTGCGTCTGTGGCTGCGGCTGCGGCTACGACTGCGACTGCGACTGGACTACGACTGCAACGCTACTGCCGCGACTGCGCATACTGCTAATAGTACTACGGCGACGTCTACCACTGACTACGACAACAACCACTACTTGTGCGACACACCTTTGAAGCATCACGCCTGCACCGCATAACATAGAAAAGCCTACCAGACCTGAACCGCCAGGACCCATGCCCCAACATGTCTGCAAATCGCGTCCTTCCAGCCCAACCAAGCCCCAAGAGCCGCCAGGGCGAGAGCAAGAACCACATGCAGGATGAAAATCATCGGATATCTGACGGCTTGGAGTTTGAGGTTTCAGTTATGCAGGATTCGGGGTGCAAGCTGATGGCTCATCTTGACAAACGTGAACTGGAGCTCCAGAATTACAGGAAAGTTCAAGGTGAAACGAGACGGAATTACTGCTTCAAGCTGGCTATTGGCCTGCATTCTGGTGAGGTCATCGTGTCACATTTGTTCAGACGTTCTGTTCTTCGCTTCTGATGCTGAGACTGGTAATGGCACTGTTGGTCAAACGTTGCTGTCGTCGCCACTGTTGCTGCTGCTGCTGCTGCTGCTGCTGCCGCTGCTGCTGCTGCTGCTGCTGCTGCTCTTGCTGCTGCTGCTGCTGCTGCTGCTGCGGTAGCACCGTCACTTGCGCCC